GCCTTCAGGTACGAGCTCTCCCTCCTCTGCGAGGACAGATCTGCACGTCCCCCCCCCCCAATAGCTAGCAATCCAAAACAGCCTGAGCGGTGGGTGTTGCCTTCTGACACACTTCCGGTGATGTCAGGGGGTGTGGCATATGCAAATAAGTTATGCTAATGAGTTATGCTAATGAGCTCCTGCAACTCTTTTTCTACGAAATGACCCCTGCTAAATACTATAACTTCTATAATTTCATAGCAACTAGAAAAAGCAAAACTGTGTGGCAGGGAGGGCCCACTCGAAAATGGAGGGAGGGGATGTGCACTCAGTCTCTCATTCCTGACTTTGCCATTCAGCCTTAACTATAGTTACACTAAAATATGTGTAACTAAACCACCAAATGAGACGGGAGCACTCACTGGAGAAGACCCTGATGCTTGAAGGTAACAGAAGAAGGAGATGTCAAAGGATGAGATGGTTAGACAGTGTTATCGATGCAACGAACATGAAGTTAAGCAAACTCCGGAGGACGACAGAGGACAGGAGGGCCTGGCGTGATGTGGTCCATGGGGTCGCGAAGAGTCGGACTCGACTATATGACCGAACAACAACAAAAACTGAACCTCCTTTTTTTCCTTCAGGGAAAGCCTCTTTGAGAGTCAGCCATTTGGAGCACAGAAGTATAAATACACCTATGAAATTTGGTAGAGTAAAAGTGGCTTGAGAGTTACTATCTGGAGTAGGGACCTGGCAGGTGAGAAGATACCCGCCCACCCAGAATTTCTGCTCTAGCTCACCCTTTCTCCGAGGCAGCTTTTGGTGAAGAAAAAAAATAGAGCTACCAGGGTTTGGTTATGTGTGTTTGCGTGTAATATTTATTTAATTATTTGATTTGATTTCTAGCCCACCCTCTCCTGCGCAGCAGGGCTCAGGGTGGGTAACAACAATGATTAAAACAATAAACACAATATCAATTAAAATCCATTCCAGTACAGTTAATAAGCAAAAGATGGCACATAAGGCACAATTGCCAGAAGGATTGTGTGTCGGTAGATATTACAACTGATATTAAGACAGAGTTGGTGGCCAGAAAAGAGGAGGGGGGCCAGTCTAGAAGCTATTGTTGCCTCAGCCATACACCTGGTGGAACATTTCAGTTTTACAGGGCCTGTGGAACTGCATTAGGTCCCGGCAGGGCCCGGACCTCATCTGGAAGAGCATTCCACCAGGCTGGGGCTAAAGCTGAGAAGGCCCTAGATCGAGTTAGGCCAGACAAAAGCATTTCTGGCCAGAAACAAACAGGAGATTATTATTCATTGAGCGCAATGCTGTTTACCATTCAGCCCTCAGATGATCCTGCAATGTGGTGGAGACGATAGTCCATGACCTACATAATGGTATTCTTTCCTTCATGGAATATTTGGACTTTAGCTAAATGTCATCAGATAATCAGCAGTGAAATGACTATTGACGATATTTGACCAGTCATTGGATCAGCGCCCCAGTCCTACAAGCAGGCAGGCTTGTCCATCGAGAAGATTCCCTTATAAGCCACCCTGAACTGTCACAGAATTCGTCTTTTCTTTCCACAGACAGCAGCGACAGTGAGCTTGAACTTTCAACCATCCGGCACCAGCCAGAAGGGCTAGACCAGCTCCAGGCACTGACCAAATTCACCAAGAAAGAGCTGCAGTCCCTCTATAGAGGCTTCAAGAATGTGAGTGTGGTGGCTTATGATGCCTTCTGGCTTCCTCACTTTCACTCCAAATTGCCCTCCCAAATGGGGAAGTTTGTGGCACCTTTTCACAGGGTTAGGTTTCCTCATGAGGACACAGGAAATGTACAGTGTTTTCTGTACTTTCTGTCCGCTCACAATTATAAAACTTCAGCAGAGGGGAGCAGGCATGTACCAGACAGGCTGCTCTGGTCTTCAGGAATTAGTCGCCAAACAAATTGCTCTCCCCACGTTTCATAAGCCTATGTTTTCAGCAAAATCCCATTCTTACTCCTCCAGTCTGTCTTGTTTAATTTCATGATCTTCATTTGTATTGGTGAGGCTTCCCAACTTTTCTTTTCTCTTCCCAACTTCCATTTGCCCAGATGTTACCAAACACTGCTCCCCAAGAAAGGCTTGGAAAAGGACTCCCCAGTCTGTTCCTTAAGGAATGCTTCCCTCCAACTTGAATGCTTAGCACAGCTGCCTGGCATCTTCCTGAAGCCTCTTGAAAGGACAAAGGCTCTAGATCTTATGAGCCATAGAAGTGGTTTAATGAATAATTTGTCAAAAGGGGAAAGCAAAAGTTATACTACACACTGAAATGTGGGATGTTGGACCTTACAGTTGAAGAAACTGTAAGCTTGAATAGGCAAGAAGCAAAGGAGAGATCTCTTGATATTTGGTCTGAACTTGTGGGTCTATTTGGACATTCATCTTTTTCTTAATTGTGTACCATTTTCTTCCCCTCCCTGCCCTGCTGTATAAGTAGGACTGCCAACCTCCAGGTGGGGCCTTGAAATTTCTCAAAATTACAACTGATCTCCAGAGATCAGGTCTCCTGCAGAAAATGGAGGGTAGACTCTACGGCATCACATCCATAATGAGTTCCCTCCCCTTCCCAAACCCTGCTGTCCTTAGGCTTCACCCGCAAACCTCCAGGAATTTCCCAACCCTGTGTCCCCTTTTTAGGTTTCCCCCTGAAAAGTAGGCATATAATCTTACCCCCTCCCCACTTACATTTTCTTTCTTAAGAGCTCATGCTGGTAGTAATAAAAACTCAAGCTTCAGGCATCAATAAAAAGCAGAACTGAAGCAAAATAAGCAAAGCAAATAAAGCAGCAAAAAAGATCAGTATCATAAGGAAATGAAAAACAAGAATTATGAATGATTAAACCTAGGGTTGCCAGACCTGTGGAGGAATCTGCTGCCTCCAGCTTCTCTCCTTGCCTTCAGAATTTTTTCTGGCCCTTTCGGCCAAGAGTGTGAAATCAGTTCCAGGGAGGACCAGGAGTGATGTCATGCCTCTCCAGGAATCACCAGAAACTCCATAGAGTTTTCAGCAATTCCTAGAAGAGACTGATGTCACTTCTGGGGGAAACCCAATTTTACCATATAGTGCCACAACTGAAGAAGGCCCTTCTTCTTGTACTGGCCCACTAACACTCAGTGCAGCTGGCAAAGCAGGGCCTGAGATGACATGCTCAGGTGAAGAGCAAGTAAGAAACTGTGACAGACCAATACTAAATACTAATAGAGATCTATAAAACTAAGTATTATGTATTATTTTCTCAAAGACTTATCATAAGTGTATTTTCCAATGTGCCATTACAGGATCATATTATATCTCAATATATACGATCCAAGAATAATCACTATGCAATTACAGAAACATGCAATTCTATACACAACTTCCATACATTTGAGACACATCAGCATTCCATTGTGTAACAACTTCAAACACAGGGTTGTTGTTGTTGTTTTCAGTCCAAAAATGCTAGTCTCGTGTCCAGGAATTGATCCAAGAGAAAGACTGCTTTTAGGGTTAATCGTTGACTCTGAAGATTTTCTATTATAGAAGAAGTGTGGCAACATGGTGATTAATTGAGTTGAGTATCAGAAAATTGAGTGAGAGGCTTGCAGAAAAGTGAATGAGACATTTACAGAGTCAACCATTAACCCTAAGAGCAGTCTTTTTTCTGAAGAAGAAACTTGAAACAAAGATTAAATCTGGAGTCTTCATTTTGGATCAATTCCTGGACCTGGGAGCAGCATTTTTGGACTGGGGGGGGAAAAACCAAAACCAACCCTGTGTTTCAAGTTGTTCTGCAATGGAATGTTGATGTGTCTCAAATGTATGGAAGTACACCCTTCAAATGATAAATAATTTTGTATAGAATTTCATATTTCTGTAATTGTATAGCGATGATTCTTGGATGGTATATTGAGATATGATATGACAAGTGTGATCCTGTAATTGCATATTGTAAAATACACTTTTGAGAAGTCTTTGATAAAATAATACAGAATACTTAGTTTTATAAACCTTTATTCATATTTAGCGTTGGTTTGTCAGTTTCTTGCTTTCTTGTCACATACAAGCTCAGACGAAGGGCAGAAATGTATAATATATAATATAATGTATAACAGATCAATTACATTTCCCTTGTCCCTTGACCAGATACAGGGAGCAGATCTATATGACAGACTTAAAGCCATTGATTTGTTGTTTTCTCTCCCCATGATGGAGGGAAAACCAGGATCTCTGACAAAGTTAGAGCACACAGTTTCCAAGATTTTTTTGGAAAGCCCTGATGATTAAACAGCTGTGAAGTTAATCTAAGTAGGTTGTTGGGAGCTGCCTAGGCATGAGGGTTGCCGGCCTCCAGGTGAAGCCTGGAGAACTAGAATTACAACTGATCTCCGAGTTACAGAGGTCAGTTCCTTTGTAGAAAGTGGCTGCTTTGGAGAGTGGACTTTATGGCATCACACCCAATGGAAGCCCTACCCAGACCCTGCCCTAATCAGCCTCCACCTTCAAATCTCTAGGAATTTCCTAACCTGGAGCTGGCAACCCTACCAGGAAGGCTGATGGTTTGGCTTTAGGGAAATTTTAGGCAGCCATCCAACATTCAGACCCACATTGCTTTAATTATTTCTATCCTGCAATCTGTTCTTGGCGCTTACAGACCACTGAAATAATGGCATGAAGTTTATTGTTTCCCCAGCTCATTTTATTCCATTTCTTGCTATAACTTCAACTCTGCTCTGACCATCAGGGACCATCCCAGGATTGATTAATGAATCAATCATCTTTGCTTTTAGAGCGACTGTTCCACATTACAACTGCTTTAATATTGCTGAATGGAAGATATTTGGCACCCCAGCTCTGAATGCATTAAGCAGGAATTCAGCGAAGAGTCACTTTTATGAGCAGGGGCCTCAGTAGAGTCTAAGGTAAAAGCTGGCCTTCCTTAGCTGGGAAAAAGCATCCTGCCACTTCAGCCTCATGTAGTATAAGACATGGCATTAGGGAGGGACTTTCCCAAATAGACGGTCCATCCCAGCAATGGCTAATAGGTGCCACACAGGGCCCAGATTGAGATCTTTGCCGGGGTATGGACGGGGTAGGGTTGTCAACGCTGGATTGGGAAATTCCTGGAGATTTGGGGATGGAGTCTGGGAAGAGTTGGGTTTGGGGAGGGGGGACCCCTCCACAGGGCACAATGCCACACAGTCTGGAGTCGAAAGTAACCATTTTCTCCAGAGGGACCATGTTATCTGGAGATCAGCTGGAAGTTGGTAACCCTAGGATGGGAGTATAACCCTTCTCTCCCCATCCAGTTATGCTAATTAAAACCATCTGCATCAGACCTTGCACAATAGCTAGACACGGGAAGGAATGACTTCTGGCCCATTGGTTTTCCTTTCCGTGGCTGTTATCAGCAATAGGGAGAAGGGGTGGCAAGGGTGGTTATGGCTGGTGAAACTGTGCAAAGTGGAAGGATTAAGCTCTTCCCTCTGCCTCATCCATGGCCCTGACCTGAAACGCAGTTGAACAAGAATCTATGCAGCAGCTATTAGTTCGAGAACAAATTCTGAGAAGGTCCAGTTGCGGATCTCCCAGCATCACATCTGTTTTGATTCTGACACAAACACTATGCAACACAACCCCTGTATTGAATTCTTCCTCAGCTCCTGTGCATGAAGTGACATCACAGCAATATTTCTACCTCCCTGCTCCATATTACTGGCTGCCATGAGGGCACAGCAGGCTCTACACAATGATGTCATAAGAACATAAGAGATGCCAATGTTGGATCAGGCCAAAGGCCCATCCAGCCCAACACTCTGTATCACACAGTGGCCAGAAATACCAGGGGCCATCAGGAGGTCCACCAGTGGGGCCAGGACATTAGAAGCCCTCCCACTGTTGACCCCCCCAAGCACCAAGATGACAGAGCATCACTTGCCCCAGAGTCCCTATCTATACCTTGTGGCTAATAGCCACTGATGGACCTCTGCTCCATATGCTTATCTAATTCCCTTTTGAAGCCGTCCAGCCTTGTAGCCACCACCACTTCCTGTGGCAGTGAATTCCAAGTGTTAATCACTCTTTGGGTGAAGAAGTACTTCCTTTTATCACATGTTACAGGAAAAAGGGATGGAAATGGGACACGAGGTTGCTGTATTCAACAGCAGCTGTATATTTGCTGTCACATCTTGTTGTCTCATGGGGCTTCGAACCTGGACTGCCTTCATTCTGATGCAACACTGCAGCTACTACCTCGTACCAGCCCTGCTGTCGTGCATCCTCCCTGTGGATCTCCTTGCTGGGATGCATCCCTGCCTACATGCATGTCCCTCACTGTGTCTCTTTATTCCTGTACTGGTGAATGGGTGTGGCTTTCCCACTACCACAGCCTTGAGACATGACAAGCGGCATGTGCTGATGTTTTCCTTGTAAAGGTAAAGGTTCCCTTGCTCGAAAGCCAGTCGAATCCGACTCTAGGGTTGCGGTGCTCATCTCCGTTTCCAAGCCGAAGAGCCAGCACTGTCCGCAGACGTTTCCGTGGTCATGTGGCCGGCATGATTAAACACCAAGGCGCACGGAACGCTGTTACCTTCCCACCAAAGTGGTACCTATTTATCTACTTGCAATTTCTTGCTTTCGAACTGCTAGGTTGGCAGGAGCTGGAACTAGAGACGGGAGCTCACTCCATCATGTGGCACACTCGGGTCTCGAACTGCTGAACTACCCACCTTCCACAGCCTGCAGTTCAGTGTCTTAACCACTTGAGCCACCGCAGCTCCTGTTTTCCTTGTACACAGCTGTTAAAGATGTGTGGGAGCCCTAATCTTGAAAGGCTGACCGATCCTGCAAAGATGAGCAAAAAGGACTTTGACCTCATGCTCTGAATCTATCTGCTTATGCTCAAACCAGGGGAGGGAAATCTTTGACTTCCTCCACAAGAGATGGCATGTCTCCAGCAGTGTAACTCACCTGAATTTAAAATACAAGTCTTAAAACCCCACTTCCCCAACAGGCTTCATCCCTGCTAGCCAAAAGCCACTTAAATATAAAGGCCTTATTTATTGCACTTCTAAAAGGGTTTGTGGAGTTTCTTTTGCAAAATGGGGGAGCTTAAGTTGAGGACCGGTGCCAAGATCCCCTTTTGGGGAGTTTCCTGTTGTCCAGAGTGGGACTCTGAAGAGGGGGCATAGCAGTGTTCTCAATAAGATGGTGCTGCAGGGAGCCAGAGGGATTCCCATGATTGATATTATTGGCTGCATTGAAAACATTTGGGAGAGAGAGCACAGTCAGTCCTCTTAAACAGAGTCACCGTCTTCTAAGAAGTCCATTGTATTTCTGCTTTGGGTTGCACTGAGACTGTTGTCTATATGTTTGGGTCTTCTAGGAAGAGCTGCTAGTTCCCTGGAGGGCTAAGAGCTGATGCTTCAGGGGGTACTGCCTGAGAGGTATTTGGAGGCAGGAGCAACACCTGGTGGGTGAAGAGAAGCGCCTGGCTGAGCTTGGTGCCTCAAGGTGGAGCCTGACTAATTCAGGGGCGAAGTGAAAAGCAGAGGGTCCCCAGGCAAGGAGAAAATGCCCTGCCCTTTGCTTCTTAGCTCCTCTCCCTGTAACTGTATTCTCAAACCCTGAAAATGAAGTTGATATCTTTCTGACACCAGCCACCCTTCACCTACAACAGAACCAGCAGGGGCTGTGGCTCAGTGGCAGAGCATCTGCCTGCTGTGAAGGTCCCAGGTTCAATCCCCGGCATCTCCACTTGGAGGGTCTAGCAGTAGATGTGGAAGACCTCAGCTGGAGACCCTGCAGAGCTGCTGCCAGTCTGAGTAGACAGGACTTTGATGGACTAACGGTTTGAGTATAAAGGCTGCTTCACGTGCATGAGCTGGAAGTGGGTTTACTGGCCCTGCTCCTGTTAACACAGAAATTTAGCCGATGGAAGTTCTTCCCATCACTTTATAAATAAATAAGTATATCTCCTTGCCAGGAAGAGTTTTGTCTGCTTCATTTCATTGTGACAGGCTGCTGTTAAAGGCACAGGAGAAGGGCCATGAACAACAAAAGAAGTGGCAATGCTACCAGGAGGGCAAAGAGGAGTTGGTAGAGACAGGGGACCCTCTGGGTAATTTCAGTCTATAGCTGTCATCTTAGGACTGTTGCCCAGGGGTGGCGGGTGCAGCGCCCTTGTCATGAAATCATTTTGAAGAGGACTAGGAAAAAGCTTCATGCCTGGCCCTAGGGCCACAGGAGGCCAGTCCTATGGAGTAGCTAGCCAGAAATGGTTTTGGGGAGGGCGTGATGCTTAAAGGATTGTTTAGGCCCAAATGGAAAATGTTCGGAGGAGCAGAGAAAGGGGATGGAGAATGTCAGGGCTGGGCCGGGGTCTTTTTTACCTTTCTTCTGAATGCCAAGTGACCAGTGTTATCTGTCTTGCGATTTGCCATGATAGGAATGTCCGAGCGGCTTGGTGGATGAGGAGACCTTCAAACACATCTACTCTCAGTTCTTCCCCCAAGGAGGTGAGTCATGCAACTCTCCAGCTCCCAGGGCTGGCTCAGATGGTACACACAAACAAAAACCTTAGGGTCAACCTGAAGCATTTTGGTGCTTGAGACAGAAAATCCAAGGGGTGCCCCAACACATGAATGCATACAGTCTGGGACACAACCTGCACGGAAGTTCTCTTGTGCAAGTCCCACTGACAAAGACTGAGGGGAGGCTGGCTCTTCCACAGCTCTGGTTCATTTCCTTGCAACTAGGGGCACCTTGACAGTTGTGGGGTAGAGTTTCCAAGATTGTGCCACGATGAAGCCCCAGCTAGCTGCAATGTGTGTGTGATTAAAAATGCTGTATGTTGTCTTCCCTATCCCCCACGAATATTGTTAGTCCAATTGTCAAAGAGGAACTGTAAATCGCTCAGAGCCCGCAGGTGTGTGGGAAAGAGCGATCAATAAATCGAAAGTATTATTATTTTCCTTTGCAGCCCTAAGCATTGAGAATGCACGAGCCCAGTGTTCAGCAGATGCCGCAAACAACCTGACTATCTGAACTTTGGTCCCCTCCAAATTGCTCCCCCACCTGCTGCCCAAACACACACAGCCCTCAGTCCAGTTCATCACAGAGCTGACCTTGCTTGAAACCCTGGGTGCCAGATTTGCACTGAGAGGCATAAACAGGTGCAGAGAGCTTCCCTCCACCAGCAAAACACCAGGGCAGTAACTCTCATATGGAGCCGTTTCACAGTGAGCAGCCCGCTGATGCCAGCTTTGAAAGGCAGAATCATCCCCAGACTTGAACTGAAGATAGCAGGGACTGATTCTGGGATCTTTGGCAGGCCAAGCAGCTGCTCTGCCATTTGCTAAGACTTCTGCCCCATTCCTCAAAGAGTTAGGCACACAAATTCATTTCTGGTATCTAAACAGTCTGATGGGAACCATTCATGGGGTTTGCAGATTTGCAGGGGGGGGGGGCTATACATTTTAACATAACGTCATCTGTGTCAGAACAAAGTTTGAGTCCAGTGGCGCCTTTAAGGCCAACAAAGTTTTATCCAAGGCACACTTTGTCAGATACCAACCTGGCAGCCCACCCACTTGAATCTATCTTCATGGAAGTCATCTGTTTCAGTCTGCATTACAATTAGTTATTTGGGGCTGGTTTGAAAGGTACTGCTCATTTGTACAATTAAGCATATTTACATTTAAAACTTTTATTTGCATTCTATGAAATCTTGAGAACCATAGCTTGGTAGATCTGCTGAGGATTCTCTGTTGGAGATCCTGAACTCCACCCCAAAAACTACAATTACAGAATTTTCAGGAGCAACAGAACCACCATTAACCAATTTAATCTGAATTATGGTAATGCACATACTTCCATGCCCTGACCCGGAAGGCTCAGGCTTGTCCGATCTCATCAGATCTTAAGCAGGGTTGACCTTGGTTAGTACTTGGATGAGAGACCACCATGGAAGTCCAGGGTTGCTACGCAGAGGCAGTCCACAGCAAACCACTTCTGTTCATCTCTTGCCTTGAAAACCCTATCGGGTTGCCATGAGTTGGCTGCACTTTCCACCACAACTTCTCCTTTAGGTTGATACACTGGGACCAAGAGAACCTGAGCTTAACTCCCTGTTCAACTACAACGTTCATGTGCTGGCCATGAGCCAGTCACCCTCTCTCAACCTAGCCTGCTTCACAGGGTTGTTGTGAAGATAAAATGGAATGTTTCCCATTTAAATCCACCTGAGCTCCTTGGAGTAAATGCAGGTTACAGATGTGATGAAGGAATGACCACAGCAGCACAAGAGCATCTTTCCCACATTTGCTTCCAGCACTGATCCATTTCTGTAGGTGAGACAAATCCTGTGGCCCCTTCCCACATGATTCCATCCGACAGGCACGTGGATCCACATGGGAAGACAACTTATAGGGAAGCAGCTCCCATGCGACTGGGGCAAAATGTGAATCAGGTCTTAAGTACACTCAGTGAGCAGTACTCTCTGACCATTTGCACGCCATCTGCTTCTACCATTCTCTTTCCAGATGCCACCATGTATGCTCATTTCCTGTTCAATGCCTTTGATGTGGACCGGAATGGAGCCATCCGCTTTGAGGTAAATATCCTTGCCACTCCTGGGGTCATGGTTCTGGTTCTGTTCCTAGTTTTGGAGGGAGAAATCTAGAGACAGGCAATAAATGAAAGAGGTTTGAGGGAAGTATTGTTTTATTCTCGTGATGTCATGTTTTCTTTATTTTAAGAAATGTATATACACTTTGATCAAGCAAGTTTTGCAAATGAAACAAAATCCTATCAAACCTGTTCACCACAGACAAAAAAAAAATTCAAATGAGCAGCAGTCCCTCTTTCAAATTGCCCTCAATATCTGGGGGGGGGGGAATTTAATCACCTTTGCCCTTATATTGCTGGGATAAATTTCTTTGTGTTGGTTAGCCAATATTGTTAAGATTTTTTTATATACATAATTTTTATTTTAAGAAAATAATGGGGATACAGAAAGAAACAGGGGGAATGGGGTATATACAATAGAAAAAACATTACATAAAATATTTACATTTATCAAGGACATTAATTTTATGTAAAATGCGTAAAGCAAAAATAGAGTATTTTCAAAGATGCTTCCCTTCTCAGCTCATTAGGTTTTAACAATGCTTTTAGAATTACAACTATGTCAAGGGGGGGGGGAGACCAAGATTTGACTGGCAAAAGGGGAAGAAGGAAGCAAAGCAGGTCTTCTTGGCAGTGCTTGCACGCTGCTAAATACATTGGAAACAGCAATAATAGTATTTAGTAGCCCTTGCCTGCAGAGTGGCAGCGGGGCTGTAGATAAAAATGTAAGCTAGTGGAATTGTCATGACTTCCTCTAAAGAAAGGAAGTACCCTTGGCTTAGCATGCTGGGCCCTGGGGCAAATGGACTGCTGGATCTCATGTGTAGAGGCACTGTTGGGTCTTGCTTGGTAAAGTAGTAGTTGGGTGCATACAGTGTGCCAGCACCATATGTATGTGCCATGTTGAAGTGCATGTGTAAGAAGGGTGAATTATGCTGACTTTCTTTAAATGGGCCCTCCAGTCGTTAACTTTGAAAAAGCACTGTGTTGAGTCTGATCATATTTAAATATGATTTTACCATTGATTTTTTTAAGTTGACACTTTGATTTTTGTTCAAAGAAAGATGCAGTTATACTTAGCTAAGCAAATTTCCGTTTGAGACAGTCCGAAACTCATTTCCAGCAGTAATACAGTTAGTTTTTCTTGAGCGGGGAGAGATAAACAAGAGGCAAATTTGTTGCAGCATGGTTCCCCCCCCCATGTTTTGAATGGCTGTCCTTTTATATTCTAAAAGTCACCCTGAACTTACGAGATAAATGAATAAATAAAAGAGCCATTGTCTACTGAAGCATCACAGACAACATTTGTGGTCTGTTGTTGTGGCCACCGGGGCTGGGATTGGGTGACTGGTATAAAAATAGATTTAAGGAAATAGAAACAGTAAATCCAGTTTCTAAATTTAGAACTGGAAACCACATCGGTAGGGAAAAATTACTCCGGAAGCATCACAACCAGTATCATTCTGCTCTATTCTTCTAAGGGTCAAGGTTATTGTCTCAAAGGCTTCTTCCAGAAAGACTACATGTAAAGTGGCTGTTTGAGGGTAAAGCATTTTTTCTTCCACATCCTCTTATGCGATTTATTTGTCTTTGCTCCATCCTTCGTTGAAGGATTTTGTCATTGGGCTCTCCATCCTGTTGCGTGGAACGGTGCATGAGAAACTCAACTGGGCATTCAATCTCTATGACATCAACAAAGATGGCTACATCACCAAGGAGGTACCTTCCTTGGGGGGGAGGTAAAGATGAGGAGTGCTGTGGCAACCAGAAAACATGTTTGTCTTTTAATCCAGTGTGAGGAGCATTGTGAGTGGTGTTGAGTGGGGTCGGGGGTGGAATTGTTTTCTTTTTTCAAGGTGGTTTAAAATTTACATGGAGAATGCCCCTCTGTCAAACGCTAATGAAACAAATGCACAACAATCTATGACAGGCTGATATGGCGACTCATACGAAAAGCAAAGGGGGAATGGCATCAAGGCAAAGTCAAATTCGCTTGGAATGTAAATATACAATTTTCCTTTATGTATTCTAATACACACAAATTCTGTGCCAAGGAAGACTGGTCTCCCATTATTTAAGTGTACTTGCATTATGGTCATATTTCACCTAAGGTAGCCTCCCTCTCTCTGTGTTTGCTTGTTATGTTTCCAACCCCTTGAATTCATCCACACACATTTCCTGCGCCTTTGGCATCGCACATTTCAGCAGGTCTCCACTGCACATTTTAAAACATGTCTTCACAATCACACAAGCAAGCTGAGGCTCCCAGCCAACCTATTTCTGCACCCTAAAGCATAGTTCGTATTTGTGCAGAATTATTTAATTTACAAAACGTATACCCCGCCTTTCTGCCATCAGGGTCACCAAGGTGGCCCGTTGCAGCAAAGACCCAACCTTGGTCATTGGTGGCAGCAAATAAGGGAGCCGAGGGGCTTAGCTGCATGATACGCTGTTCTAGAGTCCAGAGTTCCAGGGGACTGTCACAAAGCATTGGGGCCTTGATTCTGATCACGACTGCAGCACACAGGGAGAGAAGACTTTGGCCACCACATACATGCCAGTTTCTCACCCTGAGTCAGCTCTATTTGCCCTGTTGGGGAAATTAGTCTAACCCATAGATCGGGGTTCTCCAACCTTTTTGAGTTTCTGGGCATCTCTGGAATCTGACACAGGTGCTGCCACAAAATGGCTGTTGTAGGTTAATTTCAGTCACGCCGTGAAGATCCTTGTGCTGTGGAGGCCGCTGCTGTCAAATCAACTTAAAAAAAAATCTGCACTGCCAATCAAACTTCCAGTGTCCAAACAAAAGCCGTGCTGTGCAAAAGGCCCACCTGGCCCCACCCACTTTCTAAAAACACTTGTTGGGGTGCCAGGAAATCTGTCAGTCATCATGATGGTATCCATGGGCACCACACTAGGGACCCCTGCCATAGATATACACGAAGTCCCTAATAGTGGCTCCCACAAGGTTGTTTCAGGTCGGGAAAATTGTGCTGGGGAAAACAGTGAAGTCCCTTGTGCTGTCGTCCTCAACTGAATCAGGCCCCTGCAAGTTGCACTTGGGACCTCCCATCACACATCAGATGGACAGTCTTGGGGGTTGGACCCAGCAACAATGTCTCATGTAGCCAAGGCCTGAATCTCCCACGATAGAACATCCTCTGAGAATGGCCAGCCACCAATTTACCACGAGGTCCTTGAAAATATTGGTTCTGATCTACCGAGGCTCTGATGCCACTGTCATTGACAGACAGGGAGAGAATTCCAGGCATGGCAGGGGGCAACAGGGGAGAGAGGGCAGAATCATTTAAGAGAATGGGTAACTTCTGGGGGTGGCTGATGGTGGTAGAATTAAAACCATAAAAGTCACAGAATAACGAGAAATAAGAACAGAAAGGCAAGCATGTGAAGACAGAGGTGGTGCTTCCCTTGAGTAACTTGCTCACAAGCAGTTATTTTCTGTTACTGAAAAAGCTGGCTCAATCTGGCCTGTGGTTCATACTGACAGCTTCTGGCTCTCTTTCTCTGCCAGGAAATGTTGGCAATAATGAAATCCATCTATGACATGATGGGCCGCTATACTTACCCAGTCTTGAGGGAAGATGCTCCCATTCAGCACGTGGAAAAATTCTTCCAGGTAGGAAAGAGGGCATCAGTGGGTTAGCAAAGAAAGCATCCTGTCCATTGAAAGGGAGGAGTGCCCTATATATATAGCCTGACAAGCACATAGATAGGGAGAAGAAACTGTCCGAGAGAGAGAGGCGCTGGGAAGGAACCCACAAGATGCGAGAGGAGCAGGAGCCTCAAGCTGCTACACAGAAATAAGCATGGCAGGATTATCTTAAGCCTTCCAGGAACCCGCTCTGCACTTTTCCAGAGCAAGTCTCTGCTCTATAAATTATGAAGGAGACTATTTTCAGACAACACAACATGAGTACACAGAATGTATTCGGGTTGGGGTTTGAATTTGGAAAATTGCCCTTTTCCTTGGAAGAATTTAACAGCTCATCGAACGGCAGGCAGAAGTCCCGTGAGGGGGAAACAGCAAATGACATACTTGGATGGCTGTCTGTGGGCTCGTAAGGTGGGAGAACAAGGACAGGCAGGGGAGGCGAGGGAGGTTGATCTGGGCTGAGCACTGCCTCCTGGGATTAGGCGTCTGCCACTCATGGAGCCCCTTTTACATTTCAGAAAATGGACAAAAATCAAGATGGGGTGGTCACGATCGAGGAATTCCTAGAAACTTGTCAAAAGGTGAGCTCCACTCAGCCATTGCCAAGCCTGACTTTCACAGAAGGCATTTACGCAAGGCCTGCAGTGTCCTTTAAAATGCTGCAGTTTTAAAAAGCATTCTGAAATGTTCCCATGCAGGACCCATCAAAGTGAATGGAATCCCTGCAACCATCACACAAGATGCCAGAGCAAGAGGAAAACAATTAGAGTTGGGGGGGGGGAATTCGGGGGAGATGGCTAATCCACAATGGCACAGGGCATTTCCTGTGGAAGTCCCTGGTGCCATCCATTAGGTTCCCCAGACACAAGTCTACCCAAAGGAAGGGAACTCATACCTCTTGTGGGTAAGAAACTTAAGGCCAATTCACACAACACAAGATCTTTGCAGCCACCACCTGGACTCCGAAGCACACCTGCAGTGGGAGTTTTGTGCTTCCCTGATATATCGCCCTGATTCTGATGGCGCAAGGGAAGAATGGGTGTCAGCCTTTCCCACTGTGTCATTTTTCACACCCGGAAACAGCCCTAGTGAACAGCTATTTGTTCTGGTGGGAAACCTATGTGTAGCCATCATTGCATGCAAGTTAACCACCAGAGTGAATAGCAGCTCATCAGGGATATTTCAGAATGCAAAAATGGGGAGGAGGAGAGGCTGAATCTGATTCTTCCTGGGTGCTACAGTTGCGATCAAAATCAGGCCTGCGTGCATCTGGGAGGCACAGAACTCCCACTTCATGCCTGAGACAAAGTCCTCGTTGTAGCCACTAGGATTTTTGAATGGTATGAACTGGCCAGTTTGGTGTAGTGGTTAAGAGTATGGACTCTAATCTGGGAGAACCAGGTTTGATTCCCCACACCTCCACATGCAGCTGCTGGTGTGACCTTGGATCAGTCACAAGCTATTTCAGATCTGTTCTCTCATGAGCAGTTCTCAAGAGAGCTCTCTGAGCCCTACCTACCTCACAGGGTGTCTGTTGTGGGGAGGGGGAGGGAAAGAAGATTGTAAGCCGCTCTGAGACATCTTCGGGTAGTGAAGGGCGCAGTATGAATCCAATCTCTTTTTCTCTCTTGGGTATGTGCTCTCATTGTCAGGTACCAGCAATGCCCCCATAAGAAAAGTACTTGCTAGGGCAACATGAGCTGCAGGCTCCGTGGCTAGGGATGGGCACGAACTGCATTTTTGTAGTTCATTTTGGTTTGTGGTTCGTGGCCAAACCATGAACAGATACAACCGGTAGGTTGGTTTGTGAACCAAACTGGTTTGTAATGGTTCATGACCCCTGCTTTCTGCTCCCTGCCACTTTTCACAGGGAGCAGAAAGCAGGGGTTTCCTCACAAAAAGCAGTGGGAAGCAGAAAGCAGGAGTTTAAATGGCTCAGTGTTATTTAAATCCCTGCTTTCTGCTCTTCATGAACCACCTTAAAATTCGTTGAAGTTTGTGGTGGCTCTTCAGTTTCGAACCACAAACTTCCCAAAATTCGTAATGACCTTATGTTTGTGAGCCAGTTTGTGCCCATCCCTAGCCATGGCCTTCTAGTTAGGAAGGTATTTCCCAACTAGCCAAAAGCCAAGGCACACTTGTTTTCCAAATTAAAACTGGGAGACACTCCTCAGTGTTAGAACTGAAAGTGTATTTACTTTTAGCACATGTAAGGGTTAACATGTTTTCAGAGAAGCCTTGCTTCTGTGCTCCTGCATGACTTACTGATCTGGGATGACAAAGTCCAGAGCAGTGATCCATGCAGACTCACAATAGGCAGCCTCATTGCAGGAGCAGGTAATGTCTGTCTTCATTAAAAGTGTATGAATGATCCAATGTGATGAATCGGAAAAAGCCAGCACTCTCCTTCAAGACTGGTTGGAATGAACCAAGCCTAGAACTGGGACTCTTGCAGAGATGGAACATGCAGCCTCTTTGGAGGACAGCAAAGTCTAAGGCATCTCTGCTCCAGGAACGACTGAATAATCCAATCTCACCCAGTGCAGAAGCATGACATAACGACTTGACCCTACCAGAAGAAGGCAAGGCCCTTGCAGTAAAACATGCAGAGACAGAGTAGGCAGCCTCCTTTCTGATTAGGCATTTTGAGCTTGCATAAACTTCACATTATTTCAATTAATTTATTTCTCATGGCGCACCATTTGGGAATTATCCCGTTATATCCGCAGGCCGGGGGGAATGAATAACAGGAAGGTACTGGAGCTATTCCTTTTAGTTTGAACCACAGAAGTTTGGCACTGATTCCTCTTCTCTCTCCCTCCCTCCCTCCCTTTCTCTCTGCTTCAGGATGAGAACATTATGAGCTCCATGCAGCTGTTTGAGAACGTCATTTAGGAGTCTGCGAGTCCCACCCACCTCGTCTCTCCCGGCCCACATGATTCCTCCTGGCCTGCACTTGGATGGATTTATCCATCTTTCTCATGAAGCACACACACATCTTTCTGAGAAAACAAAAACTTTTTTATATTTAAAAACAAACAAACAAAAGATTTAAAAAATGGGGGAAAGATACCATTGTTTGCAAGACTTGCTGGAGCAGGAGAGAGAAAGGGGGAGAGAGACCTGAAGGGAGAAAATTGGCTTGCAGGGGACTTTCTGGCACAGCAGAAAATGTCACAAAATCAAAAGGCATCAGTCAGCATGTGGAAACAAATCCCCAGCAGCTTAGTGAGGAAGGGGCCTCCTTTCTGAGAAGTGAGCAAAGCTGCCCACTGGTTAAACTCTAGCCCTTAGACAGAGTGCAGCCATGCTCTCACACAGCACCCATTCATTGCAATGGGGCTTGCACAGGAGAACTTCTAGAGAGGTTGCATCCTAGGTGTCAACCACTTTGAGCACCACCCTTTTAGGCTGGGAGCTGATGTTCTAGTTTATACAGCCAAGTGAACCTGGACATTAAATTGGGTTACATCTCACTTCTCCTAATCCGCACCCCCAGGCTTCATTTAAAGCGTGAGGAACAGGAGGATGCTGAAATGGCTTGTCTAAAGCTGTCCGTGTGTCACAAGGCCACGCCACACCAACAGTGCTGCTGATCGCATCACCCCTTGTAGGCACAGCTAATATGACTGACCCTGTCTGCAGCAGCAAAGGCCACTGCGAAAGTGAGTACCCACAATGCAAATGCTGCCAGATGTGCAGGAACATTTCAGAATGCAAAGGAAGTGTGTTGAAACTGCAGACTTGCAGAGCTACAAGGAAGTCAGCTACAGATTTTGAATCCTTCTCTCATTCTCATGAAAAGCAGAAGGATATTCTCAAAGTACTTGGGCATGTGTATGGCACAGTCTAGCCTAGATGCTCCTATGGCAGTGGTCTGAAACTTCATACTCTCAGGGGACCTTTTCCACATTTGACTTGCCTGCCCAACAACCCCACAGCATTTACAAAGATTCTGGGTGCTTTCTCAGGCACAGGCTCAATCATGCAAGGGTGAGAGATCTCTGTTGCAGTGAATGAACAGACTATGCCCCTTTGTTTCATCCCAAAATGCCCTGCAGTGCACAAACCAGGGAAAGATCAAGTCATGGTAAACAAGCTGCTTTTTCGGGAAATCTTGCTCACCGTGATGAATCTTCTTATCAGCTGAATGAGTTCCAAGGAACTCCGGGCTCGATAAGAAGACTGAAAAGTAGGGACAACCAGATTCTCTCCAGTCAGTTCTCCTAGTCAGTTCTCTCCAGTCAGTTCTCCCCTGGTTTCAGCTGCACCTTGCTCCCCATCCTTCTCTGCCGGTTTATCTTAAAGATTCCTTACAGAATCGGTGCATGTTTCATTTGCTGCTGTTTTCCCATTGCTTCTGATTTCCTTCTTGCACAGATGTGCATTGATTAAATCACAGCACAAAAGGAATCTTGATGTGATCACATGAAGATTACGTTGTGCCCTATGATTTAATCCATGTGCATATGTGCAAGTGGCATGTCGGTAACTGTCCAAAGAAATGGAAAATTATGGCAGGAGGCACATATGCAGGTTAGAAAGCAGTCTGAAACCACCCCCACCACCCCCAAGGAAGAATGGCGGATTGTTGCTGCTCTAGAAACAAGATAAAATAATGCTGGAACCAGCAATCCAGAGAGAAATTCTGATGGAATTTCTCAAGCATGCTTATGAACACGACTGTCCTCTGCCACCCACCCCAAATTTCACTCGACTTGCCACTTTACCAGTGCCATTCTAAAGTAGAGTCACACCCTTCTAAAGACATTAAAGTCAATGGGCTCAGAAGGGCATAACTCTAAAGCACTCGTGTCTGTTACAACATAGCCCGGGTTTCAAATTTCTTGTTCTCTCAAGATTCAAAACAGTGGCTGACAGTCTCTCCCCATCTCTTTCTCCCTCTCTGCTCCAGCTGCCCCAGAGACAGACAGTGTCTCCCATTGCCCACCAGGCTATGAAGTGTGGTTTCCTTGTCCTCTCCAGCCCACACACAAACCCAGCCCCTCTCAGGATGTTGTGAGTTTGCACCTGATGCTTCCTGACGTATGTGCAGTATAAGGAATGGCCGCATGCCTCACTAGCCTTTTGACTCCAGCATCTCCCTGAACCTCCTTTCACAGCACAACCTGGGGAGACAGTTGCCGGTTCCTGATCTCTGTAACTACTTGATATTACTTCAGTCACTGTATATTTTAATAAAATAAGCTTGAAAAAGACAAGGAGACCTCGGTCATTCTTGCAGCATATTAGTCAGCATCCCGGTCGACCAACAAATAATTAAGGATAAGAAGCCAGGAGCTACAGAGGGATAGGGAGGAGGGGTGAGGAAGGACTTGATGGATCTGAGTGCTGTTGGACAGGCAGGTGGGATAATTTGGCAAAACAAACTAGGGCTGGGAAATGCTGTGTCTGATGGTACAGTTATACTTCTTTGCTCATTAAAATGTGGCAACAGACAATTTACAGTCTGGGTATGCCAAAGCCCACCTACGTCAAATAATCATAACAGATGCAACTCCTGCTGAGTTCAGTGGGGCTTATCCCCATGTGTCCCTAACACTGAAGCCTGAAATGGACATTACCTTTGCATTGGATTGTAGCCATTCTATGCCACACACTTTAGCAATTGTCTGTTTTTGTCCTAAGTTCTACTACAGCTGTATTGGGGGGGGGGGGTAGGCTAGAGTGAAGCAGCTGAATCTGTAAGAACTTGGGGCCACCTTGTGGTGCTCCATCCTCTCCACATAACACACACACTGAAGTCTTCCTTCTGCAACCTACTTCCTCTACATCGGAGTACCAGACCAAGGGATTAGATTCTTTCAAAGATTTTTCATAACAGTTGTGAAACATGTTGGTATACTTGTCAATCATTTAAAGCTAGTTCTTAATATCCTGCCAGTTTGTCACTAGAATGTGTATACATCTGCCTGTTACCAAAACCTTCAGGAAACAGATGCCTTTTGAGCCCATTTACATTTCAAAATGCACCATTCGCTATGGGAAGGAAAGGCCACCTTGGATGTTATGTAATTTCCTAATGCACCAGTACAGAAGTAGCCTTTAAAAAGTGCCTTAACTCATAGGCCTACCAACATTATCCCCTCCAAAAAGTTAACCATATAGTTCATTAACCTACTACTTAAACCATATAGCCTTAAAAGATCAGTATAACTGCTCATATATTTTGTACAGATTTTTCAAAAAGGCATTTTGGCTTGTGACGCATTTGCTCAACTTGCAAAAGTCAAGATGGGCTCTTTAGCAGAGAATAGTTCATGCAACTAATTTATAAAGCAAACATACAAAATTGTCAGCAAACTGGATAGTTTATTAAAAACAATAGCCTTTCTCTGTCCTCACACAAGAACTCGCCCTACAAGAAGTACAACAGTACCAAAGCAAACACTGACCGCTTTAATACATACTGAGTAATGCACTTTCAATCCCCTTTCAATGCACTTTGAAACTAGAATTTACTGTGTGAAATGGAAAAACCCACTTGCAAACATTTACTAAAGTGTAATAAAAGCACATTATTCAGCATGTGTAAAAGCTCCTCCTATCATTTCCAAATAGAAAGAAGAAAGTGGAGAGACAGCCCATTTTGCAAGAGGCCAGATTTCCAGTTTTGCTGTTTGATGCCATGATAAGTGAAGAGGGAGTTTTATTTCCCCATATCCTGCAAAAGCTGTATCTGCATAGGAGAAGTAGGTCATTATCCCCTTACTCCAAACTGGGGAGGGAGGGCCTCTGAGGCAGTGCTCCACAGCAACCCTGCAATGCATCATATATCACATAGGGTACACGGGCACAATTTATTTATTTATTTTTCACATTTATACCCCGCCCTTCCCAGTGGGCTCAGGGCGGCTTACAGAGGCAAGGCAGAACCTTGCCATAACTGAGTTCCATTAGTTAATGTGGCTGCAAGTCTATTAATTTATAGATTAAGATGGTGTCACGGCTCAGGTGGGGTGTCACCTGATGCTGCCACCACTCTGGATTTAGGTTCCCTTGAGAAGGCCCAGAGCACCCTCCCAAGACCTTCAGACCTCCCTTTAGGTCGAATAACAGGCGTGAGGACCAGGCAGAGTAAAACAAGGAAAAGGTTTATTTTATAGGTCAAACAACGTGCAGAATAATAACAGTAAATGGGTGAAAAGAAATCAAATGCCCTAACGCGTCTAAATTTACTTACTCTAGCTCACTATCTCAAGTGGCCTTACACTACTCACCCCTCCATCAGGATGAGGGTTTTTCCCCTGCAGCAGCCTTTCTTCTAACTCTGCCCTCTGGAAGAAAGAACGGCTCTTCCTGCTGCTCCAGAATTTTTATTCCCAGCCCTCCTCTTTTCCTGTTGGTCCATTTTGGCTCCAAAACCTCCCAGGGACTTCTGGAAGTTGTAGGCCCAGCCTCACCTACTGCTAGCCAGGCTCTCTGGGCCTAGTAGGCTTCTGGTGATCATGACAGATGGGTAGCCATGTTAGTCTGTAACAGTAGAAAAGAGTAAGAGTCCAGTAGCCCCTTAGTAAAGGTAAAGGTTCCCTTGCTCGAAAGCCAGTCGAGTCCGACTCTAGGGTTGCAGTGCTCATCTCCATTTCCAAGCCGAAGAGCCAGCGCTGTCCGAAGACGTTTCTGTGGTCATGTGGCCAGCATGACTAAACACCAAGGCGCACGGAACGCTGTTACCTTCCCACTGAAGCGGTACCTATTTATCTACTTGCCATTTCTTGCTTTCGAACTGCTAGGTTGGCAGGAGCTGGAACCAGAGACGGGAGCTCACTCCGTCATGCAGTGCACTTGGGTCTCGAACTGCCATACTACAGACCTTCCGGTTTGCAGCGCAGCATCTTAACCTCTAAGCCTTACAAACTAACAAAATTTGTGGTAGGATATGAGCTTTTGTGAATGACTTAAGAAGTGAACAGTGACTCACAAAAGCTCATAGCCTACCACAAATTTTGTTAGTCTGTAAAGTGC